GTGTGTGTGTGTGTGTGAGAGAGAGAGAGAGAGAGAGAGAGAGAGAGAGAGAGAGAGTATGGCAGCGCTTACCGTACGATAACAAACGACAACTGATAGATCCGAAATCTGGGTGGCGCAACCTGAACGGGTAGAGCAGGGAAAGGCCAGGTCGGGAATTTCCACGAAGACGAGGGAGCTTGCGTGAGCATTGGTCAGTCTGTCCGGATTGGAAATTCGCGGCACAGCCCTCAGACAAAGAGGTCACTGAGGCAGTAAACGCAGAGGTTCTCAAGGGTTCAGGGAAAGTGGGGGGGGGCCTGCTGATTGGCATGAGGCGGCACACAGTCTCTTCTATCACCAATGAGGTGATTTGACTGCACATGGCCGCTGCAAGCCTTGCCTCCTGGCCCCCTAACACAGATAACCCGGAAGCTCAGTCATTCAGCTGGCTGGGCCTTTCCCCGCTATTAGCAGCTGCCGCGACAGCCTTCGCTAAACTGACCATCAAACTCTCGGCCAGCCATGTGGCAGATTGGCTAACCAGCTCAGAACTCCAAGACTCTCTGGACTCAGAGGAAATCCAGAATAAATTGAAATCCAGAATAAATTGAACTCTTTCGATACCCCAAGTGGGTTTCCCTTAACCACCCAACTATAATCAGCCCAGACCGCATCCAAATCCAAAGCCGCAGTGACCTCAATGATGGTCCCCTGCCGAACCAGATTAAAGTGGTAAGTTGGAACTTACGAGGGTTGGGTGACACATCCAACTGTGAAAAAGGATCCAGATTCAGCTCTTGGGCATATAAGGACAATCCCCACATTGTATGTCTGCAAGAAACTAAGTTGAACAAGGAAAAAATCGCAAACAGCAGCACATGGTGCTCTGGCCCCCAGTTCTGGGCACCAGGGGATGGATCAAAGGGCGGGGTTGCTATCTTCATCCACAAGGACCTGGAGGTAGAGGTCCTGGACACCTTTCATGATCCTAGAGGCAGATGGATCTGGGTAAAGCTTGCTGTGGGCGAAGAAGACTGGGCTGTGATGAATGTGTACGGCCCGGTGGAATATGCAGAAAAGACTAATTTCTTTGCGAACCTTCCTGCATTTATCCCAGATGTGGAGAGCCTAATAATCGCAGGGGACTGGAATTCCGCCCTAACCCCCGGCCTTGACTCTCCCCAGCCAACCCCCATCCGTGCGGATGCAAGGATGCTATGCTCACTTATCGAAGCCCAGTGCATGACCGACGTTTTCAGAACTCTTAATCCAGAATCCGCGGGCCATACCTGGTACGGCCCCAGACCGGCCCCACACGCCATCCCTACCAGCAGGAGACTGGACCTGATCCTGGCAAGAGGGGTGGTATGGGATCGCTGTTCGTGGTGTGACATCCTGAACGAACACCTTTCAGACCACTACCCGGTGGCTATGGACATTCTAGCAAAAGACCAATTTGACAGAGTCAGACCCCCATTCCGTCTTAACACAACGATCCTTAAAGATCCAGGTATTCCGAACTGGGTTAAGGACCAAATGACGAAGTGGATGGGAGCCAAGGACCTATTCAATAATGAACAGCCCTAGGCATCCTCGCGGCAGCCCTTAAGACCTTCTCTAGAATGAAGGCGGCCAATAGGAACTGGACAGAAACCTGCACAAAAAAAGCTATAACTGAGACAGAAAACAACATGGGCAAGGACCCATTCTCTGACCACTACTGGTCAAAGAAAAGAATAGACAACATTGTGGCCCTCAAAACGATACAACTCAAGGAACAGAAAGACTGGCTCAGCTGGCTCAGGATCAGAGGCCTAGTGGGTTATGACAGGATGACCAAGGAAACCTTCCGGTCCCTCATCCTGAGACAAGCCTAGCCAACTCTCAGAGAACTGTGCCACCCATTCAACCATCAGGAGCCCCTGGCTGTGACGCCCAACCTCACACCCAGCGCGACTTCCTGATCGGAGTGGGATGGGGGCCCGGAAGTGCGAAAAAGGGGGGTGTGCCAAGGATTTTAGGAAAGTGGGGGTGGAGTCCCAAGACAGAACTGAGATCTCCTGTGGCAAGTTTCGGGGGTAAAAGTGCAAGAGGGCAAGTGCGGGCCGTGCGCGCTGTTTCAGATTGTGCGAGTGAATAGACCGCCTCTCAGACTTCGTGTAAAGAAAGAAAAGCTGCAGATGTCGTGCAGCATAAGGCAGATGGCATGCGCAATGTATCCCAGGGATAAGAGTCCCGACGTAATCACATTGTTATCAGATCTAGACACTCTTGCATTCTCGAACAAAATCCCCCACGACATTGCCCCTGTCGTCGATCTCAAGCATGTTTCGTACGCCTTAGGCCCGAGAGATGGGAATTACCACCTCCTATGGTTTCTCCTTTGCAGTCAGTTATGGACCTGATGGACAGGGTGCATGCTATGGGTATCGCGATGTCTGATCAACTGCTGTCGTCGATCGCTACAAACTTCGGAATCAGACGACGAAGGTCTCAGCTGGAGGTTGCGTGCCCGTCGTTCAGACTCCGTTCGGGTTCGGCGGACGAACCCCAAGGCTCAATACTTGCTGTCTTACTGGCACTCAGAACAAGGAGTTCGAGGCCAATAGGGAGCGATAGCGTGCCACGGGATAACGGTAAGGTAGTGGAAGGGCAGCACCACTTGGTACGGTGGGCAATGGGTTATTAGGACGACAACCCCAGGTTCGGAGAGGCCGTAGTCCCGTGTTCGAAAAGGCACGAACGCAGGAAGGTGGTGGGCAGTCTAGGGTCGAACAGGCAAAACCAGAGCCCTTCGAATTCCTACCAACTCCCTCTTCCTTGTTTTTCTTTTTTTTTCTTTTCTTTTTATAAAGCCCAGGTTGTTGTAGAGGCTGGAGTAAAGAAATATGAGAGTCACCTTTGAGACTCAGCCATGTGGTAGAGGCCC